TCATCCAACAATAATTTAAAAAGTGAGTACTGCCAGTCACATACCTATTCAAGGCAATCCAAAAGGGTAAAAATTCCAGAAAAATGACATAAGAACATTTTTTCCAAACCCCAACTGATTAGCACATGAATCAAATAAAAATAAAAATATTGATTACCCTTTTCATTATTTATAATGAGAACAGCTGAAGCATGAGCTGCCTGTGCATTGTTTGCCTTGGTTGTGAACTTGCAGTGGCCACGGTCCACCATAATGACATCATTAGCAAGCTAACAAAATCAAAATTATGCATTGTATTAGTAACTAAAATCTACTATCATACTAGCTTGTTTTGCATGATCACAAGTAGATGTAAGAGTATACGGCAATCAAAAAACAAACCTTATTTTTTGGGGCACTACCTATGTTGCACTGATACGGATACGGGGACGGGGACGGAAAACAGCAATTTTTAAAATTACAGGGTACGGGGACGGCAAGGGTACGGCATATAAAATATTTTTAAAATTATAAATACATATAAAAAAATCATAAATAAAGTCAAATATCAAGACTGAAACAACAATATTAAGTTTAGAACAATAAAATTCATAAACAATCCTCAATACTAAAGCAAAGGAACGCCAGGCTAATGCAAATCCAGGAAAAAACAGAACAATAATAACAAACTTGAACCAAAACAAATTCACAACAATAAGAACGCCCAACAATTAAAGCACATCACTCTCTTCAAGCAATAACTCAAACAAAAAAGAACTAATTCAAAGTAATAATCTCGTTAACAGCCCTATAGAAATCCAGGGTAAAGAAGCAATAATTTAGCCAAAAACACACCAAAACAAGATCCTTTCCATAGCCGACTCAAAAATCTGGTCAACTCCGAAGATTTTCTTATTAAAAAGGGAATCGTTCCTCCACAATCAAATCGACCATATAAACCCAAAGAGCGCAATGTTCCACAAACTCAGGCTAAAATTAGAGAAGGGATAACCAAACCAGGACAACAAGAAAGATTTAGCATCTCCAAGGCATATGAAATTAATATTCCATTTTGAGAACCATTTTTGCCAAATACAACGAAATGATGTTCAATGCAATGAAGAAACTCACATGTTGCTGCCGATTGTTGCCGAAAAGCTCAAGAAGCAGAAGCAATTGCTGTCGAAAGCTCCAATAGAGAAGTTGGATTGTTGCCGAAAGCTGCAGCCTCCAATTAGGTTATGCTGCTCCCGTTGTTTTTTTAAGGCAAAACGACGAAAATATCCTGGGGACGCATGTGAAAGTCACATGCCGTCCCCGAAGCGTCCCCAAAACTCGGAGAAACATCTCCGACGCCGTTCAGCCGTACCCTGCCACCGTGGCACGTCCCCGGTACGTCCCTCAGCCGTCCCCGTGTCGTCCCCGTACCGGGGACGTATCGGGTACTTGAAACGGCACAAGTTTGCCGTCCCCGTGCTTCCTAGGGCACTACAACAATCTCGAGGGTCAGAAAGAATGAGGCGTCTTTGATTTGCATTTTTCTCCTTCGACACTATAGTACTGCCAAATCTGGCACCTACACCAACAAACTCGGCATTCTCTATGCCATCTACCCAAGTTTGAACTTTGACCTATCAATTTCAAGGATAGTTAAACTCTATAGACAAGATAAAAACAATGATAAAGCTCGGTAAGATAAATAGCACAAATCGGTGCTGAAAAAACAGCTTCACTCCAATATCATGGAGAACTCTAAACTTAAGGGGAAACAAAATGACAGTTAACAGACAGGCCAGGAAATCCCATATAATACGTGGAAGTAAATAGCTTTTATACAACCTCTCATTCCAACTTTGAAAACTTCTACTAGCTAAACCACTTGGACAAACAATAAGTCAGTAACTATGAATCCAGAATTCTAATATACGATCACCAACTAGAAAGTAAAAATAACTTATTTACATTCAAAATGCCTACTTCGAGACTTGAAGATTCCATTTCTAATGGCAAGGTTGGGGAACAAATTAATGGGGAAGAAAATAAGGAATCAAGCTGAAATTTAAGCAAAACCCAGTTGAGAAAACAAAGAAACGAGAACCGGTAGAAGAAAAAGTAGAATTCTCGAATGATTTACCAGAACGAAGTCGTTCTCACAACCGGGCTTCTTTGGAGCTAAATCATCGTCGTGTACTATATCACCGGCTCTAACAGAACAAGGCTGACAGACGAGTGAAATCAGAGCTGTTATAAGGAAGACTCTGCAAAAACACCGCAAATCCATTGATGGGCTTTCCCTTCTACTCTTACTTCTTCTAGCTTAGGGACTGTTTGAAGTTCCCTTGTTTATTTGCATTACAGAAATCAATGATTGTTGGCTTTCTGCTTGCTTCTTTAGTATCAATAAAATTTAAGATTGACAACAAATAAATAAATAAATAATGAACAGGAGTAAGAGTCGTGGCAGTTAACAAATGAGAGCGATGGATCTACTGGCTTTGGAAGAAAGTGAGCTGATAACGCAAAGCAACCGTCAAATACTCAAAACCCAAAGTGCATTATTTGGCCTTCTCAAGTTGCACATCAAAACAAGGAAAGACGGTTGTGATTTCACGAATCACGTGATCCTTTTTCTTGAATATTTTAAAATGGAAAATTTATCCCTTGTAATGAATTCGCATTTCGACAGCGATTTGGATCTATCCACTGCAAAAGGAGATAAAGTATATTCAATGGGGTCTCTTCTCTCCCCCCATAAAACTAGAGTCTTTCAACATCAAAACGTCAGGGACGCGTGTTATGTTTGTTCATAGTTGGACCATGCATGTGGGTATGTTATCCCCAACAAAGGTCTCACCTTTGTGCAAGTAAAAGGGTTCTCAAACTAACAGCATTATCCAAATTAGACAAAACCCGGATTTTCAGTTGTAATGTTTAATCAACTGTGTTGCAAGATGATGTAGGCTATTGTTATTAAACTCAAAGTACACTACTAAACTTACCAGGTCAAACATCTCACTCATCTGCACAGCACCAAACGAGCTGTCCATACCTTCAAACACATCTCACTCACCTGCAAAAAGTTACTCTACCATTATTTATCAATTAGTGGGGAATCTATTACAAAAGTAACTAAAAAACTCATTATAAATAGAGGTATTCGAACGATTCGAAGGGAGGAAGCAAGCAGAAAACACGAAAACAAAGGGGGCTCTTCAACAAATTGGGGGACAGAGACTAAATCGTGGGGCTTTTCTTTTGGGAAAATCATTTTTAAAAGAGGGAAATGAATACGAAAGAAAAAGAAGTGTAATTTCAGATTTGTTCCCGGATTTAAACAAGAATCCACGAGACACAGTTAGGGCTGTAAATGAGACGAGACAAATCGCGAGCTACTCGAGATTGACTCGATCAAAGCTCGATAAATACTCGGATCGAATGGACTCGACTCGAGCTCGAGCTCGACTCGAGTTCTTAACGAGCCGAAACGAGCTACTCGATATTCGACTCGAAAAGCTCGTGAGCAGCTCGAAAAATATAATATATTAAGATTTTATTTTTTTTAGAAATAAATTATTAATAATATTAATATTTATGTATTGATTTTTTTTATAAAAAAAATATAGTAAGATTTCTTGTATTTAAGGCTCATGTTCGAGTTTGAGTTTGAGGCTTCAATCGAGTTAAGTTTAATAATTTTTTTTCATTTCAAGCCTTTTCGAGCTGCTCACGAGCTTCAGTTTAAGATTTCGAGTTCGAGTCGAGCTTGAAAATTTTAAGCTCGCGAGTTTTCGAGTCTAGCTTCATTTCAAAGTTTTCGAGTCGAGTCGAGCTCAGCAATACTCGAGCTCGACTCGGCTCGTTTACACCCCTAGACACAGTTCATATGTAAGCCAGTTGTTTGCCAGACCTGGTTCAGAAAGATTTTTGAAACAACTTCCACAAATTTTCTGTCCTTATCTTACAAGTTTACAAGATGTAATAGGTAACGGAAATTGCGGGTTTCGATCAGTCGCTGTCACTCTTGGTCTATCTGAGGATCAATGGCTTCGAATTCGATCAGACTTGGTGCGGGAGTTAGATGTTAACCAGCAAAAGTATAAGTATATATTTGGAACGGCAGGTTATAAAAAAATCTATAAAACCGTACAATTAGCTAGAAAATGGATGGAAATGTCAAACACGGGATTGATTATTGTTTCTGCATATAATAGAGTTGTTATAAGTCTAGCTAATGGAGGAAACGTCGGAGGATCAATGAATGTTTTAATATTTGTTTTTTTATACATGTATGTATAATTAAATAAATATAAAAGATAACAAAATTTTAAAAAATAAATAATTATTTCCATATTAAAGAAATAAATGTAAAATACTTTAATATAAAACTTTAATAATGAAAAAGACATTAATAAAAAATTTTAATAAAAAAATATAAAAGACATCATTATTACATAATGATAAAAAGTTTTAATAAAAAATAAAAAAAACATAATCATTACATTAATCTTTTGATGTTTTAATAAAAAAAATAATCATTACACCAATATTTTGATAGGTTTATTAAAAGAATCTATATATTTAGATTAACCCAACTCAAAATAATGGTGGGATGTCATTTTTAAATTTTTGAAAGAAAATCCGAAAGGCTCCAACATAAGGAGGAAGCGGGGAAAATCCTTTGTTTAATCAGGCAGTCACTTATGGTGGACAGATGGGATCTTTTAAAGTGGGAAGAGAATCAGATGTATAACATAATATATATTATGGAATTTCGAACTTATTTAGTGATTCCATCCACATTCAATGGAACACAGAACAGTTAAAAGAAGTATCATTTTTAGCAGCACAAAAAATATTCTGCTAGATAAACAGTGAATCATGAAATTCAGGTTTATATAGATCAAAAGCGACAGAAAAATGAACAAAAGGATCACCCTTTCGATGAACATCATGGAATGGGAAACCATTTGCCTAAATAATTTTGAAAAGAGGCTTTGTTCCAACTGTTTGAACTAAAATTATTACTGTAGGAAAAGATGACCATCTCTAAGGTTTTGTATCTGATATGACAAGAGTCTGCCATCAGACTTATAAGTTGGATTGCCATGGTGATTGTTTGCAGCAATATGTTCTGATAAATTATAGCTTACTCCAGAGAACTTAGCAGCTCCTCCATTCATCTTCAAACCCAGTGGTTTGCTAGTTTCCTGTGAAAGATTTTGTGGGTTGTTTTGTCTTGGATATTCTGGATTGAATTGCCTTGGATTTGAAATACTTAAACCAAAATCTGTACCCTGATGTAGTGGGAAAGGAAATCCAGTTCCAGTACCAGAAGTTGGGGTGTTTTTCTGATTAATGCAATCCATATTTCTCGATCCCATTAATGAGAATCTTCGAATGGTTTCGTCTGGTGGGGCAACTGGAAATGGTCCTTGGTTAGAACCTGGCTCTAACATTTGATTCGTTCTTTCTGAATTCATGCACCTTTTCATCTCAGCAGCTCTAGGTAGAACATAGTTGTATAATGAAGCATCAGGCCCTTGATTTGCAGCTATTTGCTCAGTTAAAAAAGTTGGTAACATTGGATACATTGACCAAGGGGCCTGACCAAAGGGACTAGATAGAAAATTTTGAACAGATGATCCCAGCTTTTCTACATTAGAACCGGCTCCTTCCGTTCTAATGGCTTGGCCTTGATCAGCTTGATCTTCAGGAACTTGATGGTGATCGCCAAGATCAACGGTTTTCTTGCCTTTTACTCTTCTCTTCAAAGATCCACCCTTAGCTTTTTTAGCTTCTATAGCTAAAACAGCACTGGTATTACTCCGGACTTGAACATTTTGCTCAGCATCACTTGTTTGATGATTTGGCTTCGCACCAGATATCAACAACCTATCTCCTTTCCTATTTGATGAAGTAATAAGCTCAACAAATTTTCCAGAGCCGACTCCATCTCCTAATGCATTTAAGTAATCAGTAGAACCGGAAGCAGTAATACCTCTAGGGTATCTAGCTAAAGATCTATCCATGTCATAATCAAAGTCATTCTGATGCTGCTTGTTCTCGTCTCGAATCAGCACCTGCTGTTTATTTTTCTTTTGCGAATTGTTCTGGTGTTGAGAATCAACATGGCATTGGAGTTGGATACATTTCTTGGAATTAGTCAAACGATGGGATTGCATGCTTTCCAGGTGAATTTTCCCATGTTGATCTTGAACTTTCCTAGGTCTTTTTCTTTTCTGCAACTGGACCTTGTCATCATTGTGACCAGGTTTTCCCCTTAGATCACCCACCAACTTTTGCATTTCATCCACCATCCATTTCAATAAACTTTCTCTTGTAACTTTAACGTCTTCTAACAAGGACTCCATGAAGTTTTTAAGTTCATCCAATGGAGCATGATCGTGAGCACTTGTTTCACCCTTCCGCAAATCAACTTTTTCAGGAGAATCCTTCTTCATTTTGCTGCTGCTCTTATTCCTTGTTTTCCGTTTTTTAACTTTCCCGACATCGATTTGGCCGGCTTTTCCAGGATTCTCATCATCCTTCAGTTTAAGTGTGCTAACTTCACTAATCTCCTCATCACCAAATGAAATCAATCTCGATACCAGCTTCTGCTTTCTGATAAGTGACCCGTCACTCGATATCGAATCATCGAATGAAGAATCAGGGTCATTATCATCGTTCCTCCTGAAATCCCAACGTTTTTGAAATTCCAATTCTCCCATTTATGCTAAGGGCATTCTACAAATTGAAACATTGACAGATACCCTTGTTCAAATTCTGTTCATTCAAATGGGGAAAGCAATCTAGTAAAAGCACAAAAGTTCAACAATATCAATTATATGATACGAGTAAAAACAGGAAATGAATGAACTTTGACAGATACCCTTGTTAAAATTCTATCTTAATACACAAAGAACAAATGGAGAAGTTAAATTCAGTTCTTAGAAGACTAAGTACCTAGTTTTACAGGGCAGTGAAATGCAGAGGATTCATAATTATTCTCAGAAAAGTTATAAAACAAAATATGAATATAAAGTTGCACCAGAAAAGTTATAAAACAATACCAACAATTCAGAAGAACCATTAAGAACAGAAGATTTGTGTTCTCACCGTATATCAGTTGAAATCTAAAACAGGTTTAATATTGTATTAAACAATGCATGTATTTAAGCTTTGAAGCAATCAAAAATGAAGGGCATCAGCTGGCTTTTTCTGTATTTTTCCCGTATTGGATTTCCACCAAACTTTCTATACTGTTTTTGATCTGTTGTGAAATGAGAGATTTGCCTTACCATGTATAGTCCATGATGGTTCTTTGAGCCTTAGTTGGAGCTTCTATTCTCTTGCATTGGTTTCCTTTTGCAGAACTTGGCCAGCTGTTACAGATTTGTCTTTTCTTTGTATTCATGACAATTTTATAGATGGTAATGGTTTTAATTTTCTCCTCGAATATGCAATTAGTTTCCATTAACAAGAAGAATTTCCTTTGATTATTATCTTCTAATTATGCACTCTATTGATTTATCCAATTCAGAGGGTGATAAATGATAAGCTCAATCAAGTTTATCTTGAGATTTGAGAAACAGAATTGTTGCATTAAGCCAAATGGTTTAACATAACAAAATTTTAAGTACATTTTTTATAAGCTTTTCGTGCATTCATCCAAAGAAGCAGAATAAATCTGCAATAGCACTACTTCAGCTACTATAGCTGTACAAATGCAAAACCTGTATCAACTTTGCAAGTAACATGCACTAAGAATAAAATTAAGCTAATGAATCCATCGAGTAGCAAAGTGACAAAAAGAAATATTGTTCTTTATTGAGGACCTGAGTTTGAACAGTCGTATTTACAGGATATACGTGTGTTGTCAATAAACTTAGAAAATTTAAACAATATTATTTTAAATTATTTTGTATTTTAAATAAATATTTATTTAAATTTAATTTAATTATAAAATTATTTTATAATTTTATTACTTTTATAAATAACGAGTCAAATCTATTGACCCTATGTCCGACTATAAATAAATTTAACCAAAACTTTCAACTCCTTAACTATTAATAATAATAGGATCAAAACAATCAGTTGATCATGGTGTTTGATTTCTACAAAAACCCATGAAACTTACATTAAAACCTAATTGTGTTAGGACCCCATGAATTTAGTTCCATCACTTTTTTCATGGACTTCTCGGACTTATTCTTCTTCTCTTCCCTCATTTTACCGCACGTTGCCATTGCTGTTGTCAGTGACATCTCCGACCGTGCCTCGGACCGCAAAGATGGGGAGGATCTACTGAGGTTGTTCTTGGCAAGCCTTAAGGTATAATTCCATCTGCAAATTCCTTGGTCCTTCAATGTCTCAACTGCATAGATTGATGCTGCCACAATCCAAGTTCTCTTTGATGCGCTCATTGTTTTTCTTGTAGAAAAACTTGTTTTGTCTTCGAGATATTGGACCGTGGCTAGCAAGAAGAGAAGTTTTTGTTTAACTGTGTTTCTTATTAATGATTAATGAAAGAGATTGATCTAATTTATATGGCTTTGGTGACTAAATTTAGATTTACTTAATATATATATAAATGAAAGAGCATTGAACAATTGGTCGGTTGGTGTTAATAGTTAATAATTGTGATTTGCCTTAAATAATAAAATTTCAATATAATTGAATAAAAATACCCCAAATCACTATGACAGAATCTAGATTTCCTTTACAGAGGATCCTAAGATCATCTGCAAAACATAAATGGAAAAGTTGAAGAGTGACAGAGGATCACCCTGCCTTATTCCCCCTTATACCCATCAGGGTCCAGGTGCTTCATCACTTTCTTGTTCAACAATCGTAGCCTTATTCCCCCTCACACCATATGCATATAAAGAAATCATTTATTTGAATTTTATTCCTAACAGCAACCATTTTATGGAAGAAGAAAAAACATGTGTAATGATCACCTTCATTTAGCTATCTAACCTTTGCCCGTTGTTTATAAAAACTCCTCTCAACTTCAACCTCTGTCAACTCACTATCAAGATTTTGCAATACTGAAACTTGAGCTGCTTCCAGCTGAATTCTTTTCTCCTTACCTTAGCAGATATGTTACTGTAGGAATTAGCATCAAGTTCCCTCAAATCCTTCTTAAGACGTTTCATCTTCGTAAATAATTGAAACATTGAGTTCCCGCTAACAGGTAAACACCAGGAATCTCCCACAATTTTCATAAAATCCTTTTGCTGCATCCAGAAATGAAAAAAATTAAACGGTTGAGGTGGTAAATCATCCTTCTTCTCCAACTAAGCAACAGCCAAACAATGATCTGAAGCGCTTTATGCTAAAAAATCAACTCTAAAAGGCAATAAGTCTAAAAACCAGCAAGAATTAACTAGGATTTTATCCAATTTTTTGGCTAAAACAATAGCACCTTGATGATTGGAGGAAGTAAGAGATGGTTCACTATAGGGACGGTCCAGAACCTCTAAAAATCAAGACAAACTTTAAAATCCATCATGTCTGAAGTGATCACCTGTCTATCAGGGAAATCAGAACTATGTAAAAATGTTGAAATCTCCCAAAAGAATCCAAGGTTTATCAGCGACTATACTCTTCATGTATTTTAGATGATCCCATAAACCCCTACTACTTTTACCATCATTACTGCCATAGATAGCAGTAAGATAAAACACTTTATTGACCACTTTAACATGCAGGTCAGACTTTGATCAGTAGCTTGAACCCTCTCCACACAAAGATTCTGCTTACTCACAACCCAAATCCTCCATTTACAGCATCGGTAAAGTGAAACTGTACTTTCCAACTAGGGAAAGAACTACTATCTCCAAGACCTTATGTTCACTATAATTTCTATAAGACAAATTACATCAATTTTTAAACTATACACGCTATCTACCACTTCTGTTTATTAGGGCTATTAAACCCTCTTACATTCCAAGCTGCAAAATTCATGAAGGATTAAGTGAGTTACCTCCAGGAGTACAAGCAACTACACCCTTCTTTTTACCTTTACCCATACGACCCTTCTTCTATGTCTTTATTGCATTCATCAAGTTTGATATGCCCACAGCAGCTGGTCGAACTTTTTTTGAAAAAATTTAAGTAAATTTACTTGTACAACAAAATAAAGATTTCTTAGTGCAAATGAATAGTAGTCAACCAACTTTACCAGACAAGTTCTTTTGGATTCAACATTTATATCTGATACATATTTCAATAATCCTCTGAATATAATGGTATTTATACCTAACGCTAGCTTCTGAATCTGAATAATGTAACAGTGGTAGTGGGGCTTCAAAATGCATGTACGTTTATTCTATCAATATGTAACCCTAAAAGTGAAAGTAATCTAAGTACCAAGTTAGTTCTTCATTCATGGTTCTTACAAACGCAATTTTATCGCTTGTTTATGCGGTAAAGATGCATTTATATTTCATTAAAAATACATGAAAAGAGAAAAGTGTAACTTTTTTAATAAGCAGAAGTGAGTAAGAATTATCTAGCAATCAAATCTAAGATTAGTGACAACTGAAGATTCGATAAAAATATTTCACCACTTAGTCGACAAATCTTAGATTCAGTCTTCTTCTGTTCTTTTAACAAAACAATCCAAAAATTATCCTTACAGAACGAGAAATAAACTACAGGTTCCTCTAAATTAGATTAAATTTGTTAGTCATTTAGTTTCTCCTCACAATTGGCAACAAGAATAACATCAAACCATTAAGAAACTGATCTTTTATAGATTTTTCCATCAGATTATTAAACAACATGCTGCATCACTCTAAACTGTAACACTTATCAAAATCTGTCATCATTACACAATCTCAGAATAGTTATTCTACGTATAAATAGAAAAATAGACATTTGGCACACAAGATCGTACATTCATATCTGTTAAAGGGAATATTTCTTGAAGCAGTGTTCGAAATGACATTAAAACTGGCAAACCTGGATAAAAATAATTTAAATCAAGAAAAAAATTATTTTAAGAATAAAATAAACAAGAAATTAGAGTTACAACTACAACACCAGAAATGAATTGAAGTCTGCTTCTAAGCATACAGTACAATCTACTCCCTGCTCCCCCAGTCTCCAACTTTAAAGGCATTTGATCAACACTCTCAAGAAAATAAAGGACTAACTCATAAGTAACATCCACAAGGAGTCCTATTAAACTACAAGAGGTCCTATTAAACTACATGTACAACTACGAGATTGCAAGGTGGAGTTCTTACTGTTCTCTATTTAGAAATGGCTCCGTCAACTCGTGCCCTCAAACAGGCTATATTTCTTCACCAGATTAGCAGCAGTATCGTGTTTTTCAGTAAGGGCCAGATGCAGGATTTTGACCAAGAGGTACTATTCCCTGCTGTACTATTAACATCATTTTATATGTACACTTGTGGAAATTAATGACTCTCTGGCAACCTGCACACATACGAAAGAAAGAAACATTAATATTATAGCTTTATCAAATAAAACCATGTGATATCATTCTTTTGCTTCGATTGAACATGGCATCACATTTAAAAAAGAAATGATCCTAATAATTTGTGGAACATGATACTCATTTCCACATAGCAAAACTCTTAGGACAAGCCATAGTATTGATCAATGCATAAGTATTCTTCTATAGTTAAGCAAAATTAAAAGAGAATGAACCTACCGCCATGGAAATTCACTGGTGTCTATTCCTGCTTGGTGGAGT